GACTCAGAAACAAACCCACACAAAGGTGCCCAAATGATTTTTGACCAAGGAGCAAAAGGAATTCAAAGGAGAAAAATATCCTTTCTAAAAAATGAGGAAGGAGTAACTGGACATATAAGCAAAAAAATAAATATCAACTTAAGTCTCATACTTTATATAAAAATTAACTCAAAAAGAATTATAGACAAACATAAAACTATAAAACTCTTAGAAAAAATGGAAGCGAATCTTTGGGGTTTGGAGTTAGAGTTCTTAGACTTGATACCAAAAAAGCATGATCAAGAAAAGAAAAATTGATATGTTAGATTTCATTAAAATTTTAAAAAACTTTTGCTTAGCAAAAGACCTTGTTAGGAGGAAGGAAAGACAAGCTGAAGATTGGGAGAAAATACTTGTAAACCTCATATACAACAAAGTAATATTATCTAGATTATATAAAGAGTTCTCAATAACAAGAACTCAATAAAAAATTCAATCAGAAAATGAGCAAAAGACATAAAAAGGGAATTGCACTGAAAAGGATATACGGATGACAAATAATCACTAAAAAGATGCTCAAAAGCATTAGCCATTAATAAATGCAAATTAGAACTACAATGAAACATCACTAAGTACCTATCAGAATAGTTGAAACAAAAAGTAGTGATAATACCAAATGATGGTAAAGATGTTGAGAAACCAGATCACTCATACATTGCTGGTAGGAATGTAAAAGGGTACAGCTACTCTAAGAAACAGTTTGACAGTTCTTTAAAAATTAAACATGCAACTACAATGAAGCCCAGGAATTAACGCCTGGATTTTTTTTTTTTTTTTTGAGCTGGGGTCTCACTATGTTGCCCAGGTTGGCATCGAATTGCTGGGCTCAGCCTTTTAAGTAACTGGGACTAGAGGTATGTGTCACCATGTCCAGCTCTCCTGGATATTTATCTCAGAGAAAGGAAGGTTTATGTTCATACAAAAACTTGTACATGAATGTTCATAGTAGCATTATTCATAATAGCCTCAAACTGAAAACAATCCAGACATCCTAGAGTGAATGGTTAAACAAACTAGCACATCCACGTCATGGAAAATTACTCAGCCATAAAAAGGAATGAACTATTGACACACACAACAACTTGGATTAATCTCTAGAGAATAATGCTTAGTAAAAGAAGCCAATCCCAAAAGGTGATATACTATAGGACTCTATTTATATAATATTCTTGACATGACAAAGTCACACAACTAGAAAACATTAGTGGTTGCCAAGGGTTAAGGTAGAGGGAAAAGGGAAGTGGATATAGTTAAAAAGGGGCAAGGTGAGGAATCCTTGTGGTGATGGAAATGTTCTGTATTTTCACTTTATCAATATCAATGTCCTGGTTGCCATATTGTATTACAGTTTTGTAAACAGGTAAAGAGTGAAAAAAAAAAAAAAGAAAAGAAAATATAG